TTCTCTTTCACTGATTCTAATATAATAGATAATACATGTAATAACCACTCCCATATCTTTCTCATATTAAGAACATTTAGGGTAGGATCCTGAAAAAGCTAAAACAGGACTCAAAAGAAGTGCTATTTTCAATAACTAAGTCTACCCAGTGTTCATATGAAATGTTTCAAGAGTAGGATGGAGGACACGGGTGATGAGAATGAGGATAAAAACAGATTTAAAAGGCTAGGGCTTAAGTTTACAAGTTTAAATAGACTTGGAACTACCAGTCACTGAATATATAGGTTAGACTGACATCTTACTATATAATATTTGAACTGTTTTTGGATACTGAAAATAATAGTTAAAAGATCACTCATCGATTCATTTACTGATTCAATAGGTGGATACCAAACACCTACTGGGAAGAACTATAATAAATACTGCTGTAAGTGGAAATGGGAAAGAGTTATCATGACAGATTCTGCTTAAAAAAGGGAGGTTAAGACATAAAAATAACTGAAGTGAGATCAACTATAATGAGTACAGTAAAAGACGTTCATATATAATGCTATGAGAATTCAAAGATAATATTAACAATCTTGGGACATGGGAGGAAAAGAAGTAGGCTCAAAGATGACCCTAAGTTGTTTCAAACAAGTAATTTAAGGTGAGGCAAAGTCATAAAACATAACCAAAATGTTTGTACCCTTATAATATCCTAAAAAAATAGAGTACCATTAAAAAAAGGACAAAAGAAGACAGTATGTTCAGTTTTAGACATATTTAGTTTGATAAGTAAGTTGAGATGTCTAGTAGGCAAATGAGGATTGGAATTCATTAATGAGGTCAGTCCTGCAGACATAAGATTTGGGATATAAAGGTATATATGGAGTACTCTTGGTAGAGGTGCATTAAGTCAGATAGGACAGCAAGAAAAGCTTTCAACAACATATGATGTTAGAGTTTAACTTTAGAAGATGAAGAGAATTAGTTCTAAAACGATGGGTAAACAGGAGGAGGAATGAGGGGGTAGAAAAAGCATGGGTGGATCCAAAGAGGCATAGAACATTCATGGCATGACTACAGCAAAGGTTGTATGCTGTGGGAAGAGTAGGATACAAAGAAAGTAAGAGAATCAGGAACCAGATTATGGAGGGTTTGATACCCATATTCCATGGAATCTGAACTTCATCTTAATCACTACAAATAGCATGAAAGTATGGTCTGGTTTAATTTTCAGAAGATCATTTCATATAATGAGGAGGTGAGATTGGAGTACAGGGGGTATACAGGAGGCAAGTTAATCAGTTCGAAGGCTATAGCAATAATCTAAGTAAAAGTGATGAAGGCTGAACTAAGGCAGTGGCAAAGAAGAGGAAGAGAAACAACCATCTATCAACTACTAAGAAGGCTGAATGTTTTAGGACTTGGTAAGTCAGTAGAATATAGGAGTATGTAAGTAAGAAAGAGTAGTGTAGAAAAACTTTTAAGTTTCTGGCTGGGTAGATAGATGGTCATGCCATTCCTGCAGATGTGGAATCCAGAGAAGTAAATCTGAGGGGAAAGATGTGGTGTTTGAAAACACTTCATTTGAGGTAACTGTGAGACATGTAAGTGAAGATACTCAGTAGGCAGCTGGACATACAGGTCTAGAGCACAGCACAGAGGACAAGCTAGGGATATATATTTGCGTTACCAATGGCAAAGATGGATAAGGAGTAATGCAGACAAAGAAGAATGTATAGAATAAGAAGAGCAAAAGATAGAGGCTGTATTTAAGGGGTAAGGAAAGAAAAGGAGCCCAATAGTAAGAACAGAAAAGCCAAAATAGAAGAAAACCAGGAGAGGTTGATGCTACAGAAATAGAGGGAGGAAAGTATTTCAAGGAAAAGTTTTTGATAGTTTTAAACGTCCTATGGGTCAAATAAAAGAAAGAAAAGAGATCACTGGATTTGGCAAGCTTCAGTGGAGTGGTGAGGACAGAAATCAGATTGTAATAAATTGAAGAGTGAAAAAAAGATGAGGAAGTATTTGAGCAAGAGAGGTATTTATTATTATTATAACTAAAGATGAAAGAAATAACTTTATATGTTAAAGGATTAGCAAAGGGAGAGACTTTAAAAATAATGAAAAGGAATGGGTTCCAAGACAGAAAGGGGGAACTGTTTTTTTTTTTTGGTTTTTTTTTTTTAAGACAGAGTCTCACTGTGTTGCCCCAGCTAGAGTGCTGTGGTGTCAGCCTAGCTCACAGCAACCTCAAACTCCTGGGCTCAAGCAATCCTCCTGCCTCAGCCTCCCGAGTAGCTGGGACTACAGGCATACGCCACCATGCCTGGTTAAGTTTTTCTATATATTTTTAGTTGGCCAATTAATTTCTTTCTATTTTTAGTAGAGATGGGGTCTCGCTCTTGCTCAGGCTGGTTTCGAACTCCTGACCTTGAGTGATCCTTCCACCTCGGCCTTCCAGAGTGCTAGGATTACAGGCGTGAGCCACCGCGCCTGGCTGGGAATTGTTCTTTAGCAAAAGATATGTCTTTCACTGAACTAGAAGAATAGCATAGGTACGCTAATGTTTACATGTGGAAAGAAAGGAAGTAGAAAATTTCTTGCTCTTGCCAGGTGTGGTTGCTCATGTCTATAAACTCAACTACTTGAGAGGCTGAGGTGGGAGTTTTGCTTGAACCCAGGAGTTCAAGGTTATAGTGAGCAACAATTGCACCACTGTACTCCAGCTTGGGTGACAGAGTGAAACCCTATCTGATGAATGAATAAACATTTTTTAAAAAGAAATGTTCTTGCTTGATGGTCTTGAATTTCAAAGATAAAGCAGAAAGCCAAGTCATTTGTGAGAAGTGAAGGTAGTAGTAGTAGTTTTAGGAAACAAGGTGCAAAACTGGAAAAGCTCCTAAGGTAACAGATAAGAAGCTAATGAGAGACAGAGAGGGACCCTGTGGATCTACAGTGATAATCAATCTGTATGTCTATGTGATCCTTTCTGGAAGAGCTCAACAGTCCCGGTATAGAAACAGTAATAAAGATTTGCTAGATGGTTAGAACAGAAAAACAAAGAGCAATAACACACAAATGACAAAAGTGATAATTCATGGAGGCAGAGACAGGTCAAGGAGGGAATAAAACCATGAAGGACAGGTTAGACTTTCCAAAATGTAGCAGGGACCTGAAATGAGTCTAAAAAGCAGACGAGAATAAGGAAGTGAGAGAAAAAGAAGGTTAAGATATTGCAGTAACAGAATGGAATGCTTGTTGAAATTTTGGGAGTAGAGAGTAGTCTTGGGTACAGGTTCAAAGGAGACTGGAATATGAACAGTCACTGGAGGTGAGAAAGGCTTAATGTTTAAAGAATCATCTAAAGGGCTGACTCATCAAATTGTCAAAAATGATTCTAGCATTAAGTATACTAAGATCCAAGTATAGCATCTTTTCTCAAACATAATCATGTGATAAATATTTGTCAATGTCTTTCATTCTCACTGAATATGTAAGGAGTAACCAGTAGGTCATCATTTTAAAGAAGAACAGAAGGTAGCACAACTTGGATAGTATAATTGTCAAAGGAAGTAGTTTTATATGACAGTGAAGGAATAATGATTGCAATTGGAAATGGAAAGCAAGAGGACTATTGCCCTTACTGTAGGTGGTTCTTAATAAACATAAAACTGAACTACTTCTATATCAGGGGTTAGCAAACTAGGGCCTATGAGACCTGGCTGCTGACCCCCCTTTTTATTAATAAATAAAATTTTTTTGGAACACATGCTCACTTTTTTCTATATTGTCGGTGGCTGTTTTTATACTACAATAGTATTGTTAAGTATTGCAAAGAGACTGTATGCAAAGTCAAAATATTTATTATAGTATCCAGCCCTTTAAAGAAAAAGTTTTTCCACAGATGTAGCCAATCGAAAAGAAAAAAAAAAAAAAAAAAAGAAAAAGTTTGCTGGACTTGACTCTATAGCCAGGGGGAGTGTGGAGATGGGATGGGGTGGGAAAAATCTAGGTTTCAATTATGTCTCTACTTTTAGAAGGAAGTGGAGATAGCATTCTTTGATGGAAGTAAAGGTAAAGGCAGTCTGTTTCCCTCAGATGGAGATTTCAAAGGACACTGGAAAAAATATGCTGGTAAGATGTTGAAGATGAGTTGGGGGAGATGGTAAGGTCAGACGTAAGATCATCTGTACAGGATAAGAATGGCAAAGGAGCAGTTGGAGACTTCAGGCTGTAAAAGCCTTGAATATATATGCAAGATGAAAAATATATACAGTAATCAGTTAATAAGACATGAGTAACAAGATTCATCCAGTGGTAAGAACCATAGAGGGAATAACTACTAATAGTTTAGTTTCTGACATTTATCAGAAATGTTTGATAGCCCTGGAATAGGAAGGCAGAAAAACATGTGGCAGTTTATAAAAAGGGTTGAGCACTGGGGTGGGAAACACTTAGGAAAGGAGGGCAAGGACATATAGAAGACTATTTAAAGAACTGAGACTAATAAAACTGGCACTGAAATTGTGCTGTGTCTTATCACACTAAAAAAAGAGAAATTGAGAGGGGCGGAATTACTTCTGTTATCTAAATACCTGAGATGCACTTTAAGCTGTTGAAATGTAAGCTCTTTGAGGGCAGGGACCATGTCTTATTTACTGTTAGTATCCCTTGCATTTAGTGTGGTGCACTGGACACATAGTAGGCACTCAATAAATATTTATTAAAAACAAACAAACAAAAAAAACTGGCATTGAATTACAAATGCTAAAATTTTTAGGATAATTACAAAGTAGCTATGTAACTCATAAAAAAGAAATATAATCATATGAAAAAACCAAAGGAGTACTTTATCAACTGCTCAGTCTTAGTTGTGAGTGGGCCATTTCATTAAAAAAATTACAGTAGAATGATACTTTTTTAATCACCAAAAAGACATGTTGATAATTTATTTGATAAAAGTCAATTTTAGAAAAGGTCTTCACTTACACATGTTCCAAACTGTTACTTACCTGCTTTATTACTAAGCTTATATAAAAAAGTTTGGCGAGGGTCTGAGTGATCTCGACATGTCAGTTGCAAAAGCGAACCTGATTTTTTCCATTTCTGCATAAACCAGAGACCTAGAGAGTCATATATGATATATAAGTATAAATGGAAATATACAGGAACATATGCCAGGACATTAATTTAAAAAAATGACATCTCCCAAATTAGCACTTTTGTTGGCTAATAAATAATATTTGCAAAATTTTCCATGTTCTGATAACATATCAACACACATGCATAGGTTAACTATAGATTATTAGTGGTTGATGGTGGGCTTCCTATTTCTATCTCATTCAGTAATGAAACAGATAATAGTATATGAAGAACAAATATGGGAAAACTGTAACTTTAGATATATTTGTTCAAATTATAAAGAAGCTGAGGGAGAAAAACTTCAAACACAGTAGTAGGTCCAAATGCCTAAGCACTGAGTTTTCAGTCTATAGATAATCACAGATAAGTTATGGTAGACCATGTGCCAAAGGACCAACCCTTAAGTGAAAAATTGTTTAATATTTTCTAATGATAGCTACATATAATTTAAGTTTTATATTTAATTGTATTTTTTTATATCATCAGTAACCCATATTTAAATATATCTTTCCCTTAAAGAAATTAAGTAAATGAAATCTTACATCACTCTGAAACTGGTTTACAAGACTATGGAATATTCATTTCAATTTTCATTGCTTCCAATATTATAGAGGAGAGCAGGGGAAGAAAAAAGTGAGGAAAAAAACCCTTTAATTGATTAAATCTGGAAGCATATAGTTGGAAGCATATCTGGGAAAAAGTTTAGAGAAGAAAGAAATTCAAATTACTGCATCCTATTCACGTTGGGTGTTCTATTTTGTATTAAGGATTTCACTTTTCTCATGCCCTCTTTTTGGAACTGTAAAAATCTGGAACTGACTGTACTTTGAAATCACCAATTTGAAATGGGATACAAAGGAAAATGGTATAGTTTGTCAATAAAAGGAAGTAGAAAAGAAAGTAGAAATAAAGGTTTCAGGGATAATAAAAAGAGACAGAATGAAATCTAATTTATTCTTGCAATGGTGACCAACTGACTAAATTATAAACCATTTTTTAAAATTTAAGGGAAAAACCAAGCCAAACAAATCAAGTATCAAATATTCCTCCATGAGAATGAACTAATCAAAATTAGGGTCTTAACCTTCATTTTAACTTCTTTAGAAATTTTGAATTAATTTCTTAAAAATCATATTCTTATATCTTTACTATCACCAAACCAAAGAGTTGACATTTTTTATAAAACATTTTACAACTTTATAATATATTAGATATAGGTGTTTACTTGTTATCTGTTCAACTAATGGAATGGCAAAATAGCTTATTTATATGATAAGCTAAAATAATTAGTTTAATGGAAAAAAGGAAAAAAATGCTCTTGTGACTTGACAATTACCATCTTAATAGGAGAATAATCATTTCCTGAAATGACTTTTATCAACTTATTTCATGTGCATAACCAAATGGAAAATTAGTTACAGTTTTTGCTTCATGAAATTCCAGGTATGTGACAAGTTGGCTCGAAACTAAACACCGGACAATACTAAATACATATTTAAATTTTCCCCCATCATATTTTTTATATGGAACAATAAAACTTTTTACCTGTATTAACAAGAGCACTGCTATTGTAGAGTGTACCAAGGTGAGGTCCAGAAAGAGATAGAAAGGTATGAAGCTTGTTGAGGTAATATTTAAACCTTGGCCTTGTAAGCACTGAACGGATTATTAAATTGCCCAATGAATGTCCAATAAAGCTTTAAGAGAAAAAAAAAAAAAAGTCATTTCTTCCATAGTATTAGTTTTAAGACCAAAAATCAAAGCTGACACACAATACAGTGATGTGAAATACTAAGAATTTGAAAATTTCTAATATGCTTTAAAATTATGCTTTGATACTTTGAAATGACATATTTTTGAAGAAAAAAATGTGAGAATGTTATAGAAGATTCCATTATCATATAATTTAAATGTTGATAGAAACAAAATATGTATTAGAAAATTTTTATTCAGACTTTGTAACTGCTTAGAAATAAAAACATTTTAAAAACAATAATATAATGACTAGATTATAAATTTGTCTCCTTAGGCACACATACAAATTATTTACTTGTTAAGCCATGACTTCAAACAAAATAATGAAATTGTACTCATAAAGGACAACTTAGGAGAAATTATGTATCTGTTTCTCTTATTCTCTGGTCTGCACTTCAAAGTTAGGCAAGTTTTCAACTAACATATTTTCAAGGCACGGGTAATGTATGTGCATTTTCCTATAATAAATCTAAGATGATACAAAAAGATTAATATTTATGGAGCACTTCACTTTTATTACGGGATAGTTTAAATCAAAAGAGTCTTTTTACTTACCATTATTTTTTAATAGATGGTATAGAAACCCTAGGACAATTAGCAGTGAAAGAAGAGAAAGTGAAAGCTGTCTAGACATTGGTTTACAGATAAATCTAGGAGAAGCTGAGGACAAACTTCTCTACCAAACTGAAGTTCCCAAAGGAGTGGGGTGGGAATTATGGTGGTATAATAGCAGCTAATAGTTTACAATCAACCAGTTCATGCTTTTGGAAAATAGTGGATTGTAACTGACAATCTAAAAGAGTATAATTTTTTCATGGATGAATGAAAAAATTGAATATATTATTTTTCTCATCAAAAATAATAAATGAATAAAAGGAATACAAGATCACTGTAGAAAATTTAATAATCAAAACATTTTAAAATCCATAAATGAAAAGAATAATTAGAACAAGAACTCCTCCTAACATACCTGCACTTCTTCCCATATTTTAACAGAATTGTTTTTAAATAATGCTTAAAGTAAAAATTGCTTCTCTCTCCTCTTAGTCTTGTAGCTTCAAACTGGAAACAAACTTTACAAAAGCTTATAGTATACAGAGCCAGTTTTCTCTTCTAGCTGGGATATGAATATCATCAGTTCAATCTACCCTTTTTGAAGCAGAAAGATTAGTTTTGCCTTTTTCTTTAATTCCTACTGGACTAGCAAAAACTAAGATTTTTTTTCTCTCTCATCTCTCTTTACAATATCTAATTAAATAATAAGACATATTGGTGTGATCATCATCTCTTGCTTGTGGAAAACTGACTCAGAATGTATACGAAAGCCATAAAACTTTGAAAATATTTTTTTGTTTCATATACAAATATATAAATTCACATAGTATATAATTCACCCATTTAAAATATACAATTCAATGTTTTTTTAATATATTCAGAGTTGTAACCATCATTACAATAAATTTTAGAATCTTTTACTATCTCTAAAAGAAATCCTACCCTTTAGTTATCACCTCCCATCCCTTATCCTCCTCAGCCCTAAGAAATCACTAATCTACTTTCTATTTCTATAATATGCTATCTCTGAACATTTCATATAAATATTATCACATAATATGGCCTTTCCCTAAAATCTTTTAATTTTTTTCACTTTAACACTTGTACCCCCATAATTCGCTAAAATAAAAAAAATTAATTCAGTTTTAGTCTATATTTCATAATAGGACAGCACTACCACAAATTGTTTAATTTTTCTATAATTCATAGACATATAAAAATAAATTGTGTAATATTATAGAAGTTACCTTATTTTTGAAACTGTTAAACTATATATTTGAATATATTGTATTATCTCATCCAAAAGACGATCAGTCATGCTATCGAAGTCAGCAAAAGTATCATTCTAAAAAAAACCAAAACAGACACATTATATTATGAAATATGTATAATGACATGAAAAACTGAATATAAGCATTATATTTAATTTAGATATTGAAAATATAGTTATGTCCCTTTTTTTTAGAGAAGTTAATAAATGTAATATTCATTATATTAAAATAAGCAAAAAGGTCAGGAGTCTGAGACCAGTTTGAGCAACACAGTGAGACCCCCGTCTCTACAAAAATAGAAAAATTAGCCAGGCATGGTGACCCCTTCCTGTAATCCCACCCACTCTGGAGGCTGAAGCAGGAGGACAGCTTGAGCCCAGGAATTTGAAGTGCAATGAGCTATGATGGTGGCACTGCCTGGGTGATAAGAACAAGATTCTGTCTCAGAAAAAAAAAAAGAAAAGAAAAAAGGGGAAAAATAATGAGTTTCTAGGGGGAAAAGGCTCAGTGTTCTTAATAACATTTGCTTCTTTTAGTTATTTAGTTGTTTAGTCCACTGCCAGTATTAATATTTATAATGGTTCAATTAAAGAAATACTTATATAGGAATGTAAAATTCTATAGATTATTTCATATGTGAAGAGAAGGTAAAAATGTAGAACATATATATCTCCTTTGGATATAAACTTACGTTAAATTTCATAGAAATCAGCAAAATTATTTCTACTAGCATAGGCATTTTGTAGTAAGCAAATATTTACGTAGAAACTGGTACAAAATGTTTGTTTTCACTGAAAAGACTGCCATATTGTACCTGATTTCTCTCAGACATAAGAAAATCAATTCTTCCCCCAGGCAGTCCAAGTTCAATATAAGTTTTTACTAATCGGAGATCTGCACTGTTACCTAGAAAATGAAAAATGATGTTTAAAGGACGAGATAAAGTAAAGGTACAAAGTATACTATCACACACTTCTACAGTTTTTGAAGACAAGTTTACAGCCTATGCCATTTATGAACAGACAGTATGCTCTGAAATAAACAGGTGCCAATTTTTACGTCAATGCTAATTTCTATTAGCCAGATAATGCAATTCAACAGTTTGTTTCTTAGGAGGTTTTGGTTGCATCGATGCTTCACTTTTTTACTTAACAGTATGTTTGCTTACCAAATTGTTAGTACATCACTTTGGTAACTGCTGGCTATAGAAGCTATAAATGACTGACTTCTTACCATCACCATTCTAGCTGATCATTTAAAAAAACCCTGCATTTTAGATTTATATTTAATTTGTTGACTTTCCTTTGGTGGTACTGGTACACACTGAGAAAAATAAAAATCCATTTAAAGCTCTTAGTTTATTTTAATAATTATTAACTCAAAAGATACATAAAAATATATTTATGATACAGATATAAAATATAAGGGATCTTCAAAAAGTTCATGGAAAATTTATATTATGAAAAACTATGCATGGACTTTAAAATTTTTTTGTACCAAAATAAACTCACACAAATTTGTTATAACATGGATCTGGTTTGAGGCACTAGGAAGAATAAGACATTAGTTTGAAAAGAGCCCCCAGAGCAATACCAATTCTGCTAAAATTGAGGAACAAGCATCAAATTTAAGGTAAAGTGTGGGTAGAAGAATGGTGAAAATACTGATGCTTTACAAAAAGTTCATGGGAATAACATCCCAAAGAAATCAGTAGTTTATAAATGAATAACTCATTTTAAGAAGGGACATGACAATGTTGAAGATAAAGCCCACAGTAGCAGATCATCCACATCAATTTATGAGGAAAAAATTCATCTTGTTTGTGCCCTAATTGAGGAGGACCAATGATTAAAAGCACAAACAATAGACAACATCTTAGACATCTCAGTTGGTGCAGCTTATATAATCCTTATGGAAAAATTAAAGTTGAGCAAATTTTTCGATAGACGGATGCCAAAACAGTTGCACCCAGATTAGCTGCAGACAAGAGTAGAGCTTTCAATGGAAATTTTAAACAAGTGAGATCAAGATCCTGAAGCATTTCTTTGAAGAACTGTAACAGGAGATGAAACATGCTTTTACCAGTACAATCGAGAAGACAAAGCACAATCAAAACAATGGCTATCAAGTAGAAGTGATCTAGTCAAAGCAAAAGGGAGTAGGTCAAGAGCAACGGTTTTGGGGGATGCTCAAAGTATACTGCTTGTTGACTTTCTGGAGGGCCAAAGAATGATAACATCTGCTTATTATGAGAATGTTTTCAGAAAGCTTTAACAGAAAAACATCCAGGAAAGCTTCATCAGAGTCCCTTTCAATCACCATGATGCTTCTGCTCATTCCTTTCATCAAACAAGGGCAGTTTTGTGAGAGTTTCAACGGAAAATCATTAGATATCCACTTCACAGTCCTGACTTGTTTCCTTCTGATTTCTTTTTGTTTCCCTATCTTAAAAAATCTGTAAAGGGCATCCAGTTTTCTTCACATAATAATATAAAAAAAACTGCACTGACATGGTTAAATTCCAGGACCCTGGTATTTACCAGGCTGGTATCCCTGCTTACAAAAGTATCTTGAACTTGATGGAGACAATGCTGAGAAATAAAGTTTATGTTTTTAAATCCATTTTTCTGTGAACTTTTTGAAGTCTCCTTGTATATAAATATAAAAATAATTATCTTTAAAAATTAGTTTAGTGGATTCCCTTGGTTTACTAGCAATATAAACATGTCATTATCAATTGTTAAATTTTTACTTTACTTTTCTAATATTTACCTTTTAAATATTTCATGATTTAATGCATTGATGGAGATAATTGTTTTATTCCTGGTTTTAAAAGGAACACCTCTAATGTTTTACTACTAAGTATAAGTCATCCATGGGCTAGAAATATATATGCTTAATCACATTAATGAACTATAGACTAGTCCTATTTAAGGTGAAAGTTTTATGCTTAGTTGTCATAATTAGAAATGAATATTAAATTTATCAATAGTTTCTTATTTGATTTGCTTATGTATTATATTTTATTAATACATTTCTTTATATTTACTTATATTTATATCCTGGGAATTAAACTCCTTGTTGTAGTAACTTATTTTAATATGTTAATTCCATGTGCTAGAGTTTCATTAAGTACATTTATGAGTTTATTTGGTATGTCAGATTGTCTACTGTTTATTTGGGGTGTCGATATGATACCTTTATCTGATTTGGTAACAAGTTTAGGTTACCTTAAAGGAATAAAATGGGCTGTACTCTGTGTAACATAGGGATAATTAATTTCATGAAAATTTCAAAGAAAAATTTGTCAGCAATTCCACTGGGACAAGAAGTCTTTTTTGGGGGACTAATTCTTTGAAAATTTTATTATGTAGGGAGGAAGAAGAAAGGTTAGTATTGAGGATTCTTGAGAGTCTGGCTGGGTTTTTTTTTTAAAAGAAATCTTCAATTTTATTGTAATTGAGTAGCACTTTAGCATTTTTATAATCCTTAAAATCTAGTTTGTTATAGAATATAATACAGTAATACCCCATTAGTCTAGAGAGATGTTTAACATCTTTTAACAGTTCCTACATCTAGGAAAAAAATGTTGAGTAACCAAAATAGCTGTCATAAAACTACAGCACTAAAGCCAGGTACCTGTATTTAGAATTTAATTTATATCTTAATTAATGAAAGTTTCATTCCTAAGAATATTGATTTTTCTAGTCTATACAGTTTAAAGCGAGCTAAAAGGGAACTAGGAGGACTAGCAAAGGGAGACAAAATGATTGCCTCAAGGTGACAGCTGATAAAACCAACGGTAAGAGAGAAGACAATAAAATCTAAAATTAAAGTAAACAAATTGTTGGCACATATGGGTCAATTTCATAGAAAATTTACTTAAAAAGGAACCTAATTTTACATTTAGAAAAAGTAAAATTAAGCATATTTTGGTTTTAAAATGTATTTAAGATTCAATTAAGCAATTTAAGCAATGTAAAAGTCTTTTTTAGTAGAAAGATTAAATAAAACTAAGTGAGATGGGTTACATGAATAGATGTCACATACCGTCTAAACCATGCACACAGACAATGAGATGTACTCCATCTTCAGAACAATCCTCTTCTTCCATGCTAAAATAAGGTACTGAGGATGCCAGCAGAGGAACATCACTGTACATGAACCCAGGAAGTTTAAGTTGCTTCAATTCTTCTTTTGCCTGAAGGAAACTAAAGTAAAATATTATGAAAGATATCCTTTACTAAGGATCTTATTCAGTTTTTAGAACCAAAAAGATAAACTCCTGGATTTAGAGAATAGCAGAGGGGGAAATCCAACAATATTTGGTTTTAAAATCATGAAAATATGTGGTACCACCTAAATGATTTAAAAATCAGAAGGTAATTTTCTTTACTATTTTTAGTGCATCTTCTGATCAAATACAATGAGCATTTTAAACCTGAAATCACTTAAAACATTCTTTTAAACTTGAAATCAACTAAGAAAATATTAGGAGTAAAGTTATGCTTTCTATAAAATTTAATATTGTATGCACAGAAGAGGAGCGAGAGGCACTAGAAAGATGATAATGAGATATTTTCCTGTACTCAAATCTTATCCTCTTTGCTCCTTTTAATCTTACATAAATGGAAGGGAAGGAGCTATTCTACAAAATGTCACAGTAAAAATGGTAGTTAGAGTATTCAGCAGGTTAAATTATTTGTATTTTTCTCTAAAAATATCAATAAGAAGGAGCAGAACAAAAAAGATGATGTGACTAAATAAAATTGGTGGCATATACTCATTTGGAATGACTGACAAATCCAACCAATTTGGGGATTTCACACATCAGAAATTATTAATTATTTAACATTAAATTATCTATACTGATAAAAGCGAAACTGTAAGAAGCTGATGAACACTAAACTGAATAGGATACACTGGGTGCAAACATATAGATCATTGCTTTTTGATGACTTAGAGACAGTTCGAGGTACTTAGCTTTCTAGCATATTATAATTTTTTAATCAGCCATTGTTACTTCACTAGTTTCACTAGCTTTAGGCTCTAAGCAACTTAATTTTCATGCATTAATCAGAATAATCTTGGGACTTTAAAAATCCACATAACACATGTCCAGAACTCTCACTCCAGAGATTATGATTCAATTTGGGCTGAGACAGTAGAATATTTTAAAAACCAGCATATGCTAGTAAACCTATGTAATCTCAAAATTGTTCTGGATACTTTACTGGTCCATGAAACCTCAGTTCTGGAAACCATCAACTTAGCAGAGGCAATCAGGGACTGATAGGTTTAAGAAGTTTCTACTAAACTGTTATCTAATATTGTCCTTATTTCCTAGATACAGTCATAAAACTTAGCTTTTGTCCGAGAGAGAAATGAGGTACTGAGGAAAAAAGGGTTTTAATCTAAATTATTCCATACTTCTAACACAAAATTACTAATAGAACATTTGTATCAGGAATGTGTAGCCTGGACAGGACAATTATTTGGGAACTATAGATGTATCTGTGAAAGAGTATATTGCATGCCACCATTTTAGATGGCTAATCAAAGAAGAACTTACTGTATGACAGAAACTGGACAACAAAATAGATATCCAACCATTTAGTACTATTTATAATGTTCTATATACATATTTAGTAGCACATATTATTATGCTCCATTACTCACGCTTGTATCTGAGGTCTTGGTGAATTTTCATACCAGGAAACTGAAGAAGTGACGTTGTAAGAAGTACTGCTTGGCTGTTTTGTAATGGCATCAAATTTACTTCTAGAAGAACATTTAACACTACAAGGAGACTCTCGTGGTGCAGATGGGAAAGACAAACAACCAGAAGTACAGACAGTAGGCATATTTATAACATCACTCAGATAGTCACTATTTATTTTTTCAGACTTTATAAGTCTTTCTTCTGCTAGTGTACTTCTGCTTGTATAGTGAGCATTTATTGTTCCATCCAAAGCTGAATAATCTGTTTCTTCATAATACCCATTTTGAACCATTTTTTGATCCTGCTCTTCCTCCTCATCCTCTTTACCCTGTTCCTGCTGAAGATTACTGATTTCTTTTTCAGAAGTTTCCTTCTGAGGGCTAACTGAATTATTGTAGCTAATAGCACATGTGCCAGAAATATTCATACTGCTTTGAGAACCAAAATAATTTTCCACAAGCCCTTGCTTTACTATATCAGTACTGGCTGAAAAAGGGTCACTTGTATCCAGATGAGTTTCACTTTCAATTGTAGGGGCTTCTGAATATATTTGTTTGAGATTTAATGCATCACTATTTTTTCTTTTCACAGTTCTATCTTCACTAATTTCTGCATTAGTAGAAATGGAACCTGAAACAACACAGGGAGTGCCTAAACAAATCAGTTTTGAATTTAATGTAATTCCTGTCCCTGCAGAGTTATTAGATTTATCAGGACTCTGGGAGCCTGTACACACAGTGTCCAAGTTAGGTTTGGAGCTGCAACTACTTTTCACATCACTGGAAGTATCTTCATCTGAAAAAACAAATTGTAAAGAGTCTTTAGTGCTTGAATTTAAGGAATGTATTGCTAAACTTTCATTGTCCAAATGCCCTGAAAATATAACGCTCTGCTGTTGCAAAATAATACTTGACTTTTTAGTATCCTCACATTTTGACAAATCAATTGTTCCTAGATTTAATACAGTTTTGCTATCGCTTAGATGGCATTCAGGTAGAATAGATTTCTTAGAATTTTCATCAGGTGACAGTTCATCATCAGAAGGTAGAGAGTTTATGGATGTCAAAGATGACTGTATTTCACTTAACGCACTTGTACTTTCAGTGCAATGACTCCCCAATGAAAATTTTACATTATAATCAGGTTTCATCAAAAGCTGAGGAAACAATCTTTCATTATTGTAAGGACCTTGCCCTTGCACAGTTTCAAAGACTATGTCAGGGTTTGGATGTGTTGCAAAAGAACTTGGTTCACTTTCAACACCTGAATCTGAAAATCTAGATGAAGCATATGTGGCATTAATATCTGGTAACTTAATTGTATCTCCACTTACAACAACATGATACTCTTTTGTAGAAGTAGCAGGTAGATTACTTCTTAATTTAGCTAATGATTCTCCAACAGAATGACACTTTGCTTCTTGTAAAGCTTCCTTTTCAAGTGTTACTTCTATAGATTTAGATTTACCATTAGATTCTAAGGACTCAAAGTTGGGTAGTAAATTATCCACAAATATTTCATCTTGTCGAAGCTCTGTCCAAGGTCCCATTTTAACAGTTATTTTCTCTCCACTGAAAGGATCTGTATTACTGGGCTTTACTTCAGTTGTTCTAAATTCCAAAGCTGGGGTTGTTTGATGATCATGGCAATCGTCTGATGAACTTCTGGATGCCAGATTGTGTTCCATTTGTGTAATTTCACTATCGTCCTGGGAGATATCAAGTTTACCTGAAATGGACAAATTTGCACAAAGATTTAGGTTGCCAGAGTTCAAAGGATCAAACTGGTCTGGTTGCATATTTTCAATATCTGGAGACTTTTGTTCAGTTCTCTCTGTATTAGTTGGCAAATAGCTAGCTTCCTTTTGACTTGTCTGTCTCATGTAGGTCTTTGGGTCAAAATTATATCCACATATTGTGGGATCCAGACCTTCCTTCTGACTAGGTGAAAGATTGCCTTCAAAGCATTTAGTGAGATCATTTGATGCTGTATTTTTCAAACATTTGTAGCCTACCAAAACCACAGAATCCTTAGAGTTCTGTTTTATTAATTTTTTTGTGTTTTCAGGTTTCATTGTTTTCATAAGCTTAGTAACCTTAACCTTGGATTTATTTGTTTCTTCATTCTTTCCTTTTAGAGATTTTGTTAGCTGCTTTTCACCTTCTGTATACCAAATATTGGAGGCACCAGCAGGTCTGACTTTCAATTCTGGGCTAGAAACTCCTGCTATAGAGCTTTCTTCAGTTTCACATTTATCCATTTTACTGGACTCTGATCCCTGAAGATTCTGAATTCCCATCCAGGGTGCATCTAAGTCTTTTATCCAAAGAAAAAAAGATTCAGGTTTAAAACATAGTGTGAGAACTCATATGATTAAAAGACTACTTTTTCTAACTATAACTTTCTAATATCCTCAAAAATACATAAAACTACAGGGAGAAAAAATACTGCTTCACATTAGGGAATGGTTTTATGTATATTAGGAAGAATATACTGAAAACTATACACATATAGCTTGTATATTTTAGTTAGATTATACTTACCATCAATAACTGAATCTAAATACCTATCTTCAAAGATTATAGGTAATGAATTGAGATCTCCATCTAATTCACTACATTCAATAGGTAGGGGTGGAAGAGAACTGCAGAAGGAAGTATTTTTGATAGCGGTGCACATCTGTAGATGACTCTGAGCACTGAAAAATATTTCTTAAGTCAGATTATAATTTAAAAAAATTGCACCCAACACTACTTTATAGACTACTCTTTCCCCTTCCCCATCTCATTCCTATCTCCCTTCTTGAAGACATAATCCCTTATGAAAAAGCTGCCTGGTGAGAGATAAAAACTGCTAAAATGAAAATTATGGTTTTTTGGCAATAAATTATTGACTTATAAAATTATGGTTTGTTAATAAATTATTTAATTTCTATTATGTTCTTCTATACTTTATGTTATTTCAAAGTGAGTCTCTGTGCTTAATGTCTGAACTTCCTAATCTGTTGCGAATAGCATACAGGAGAAATACCAAAAGCTCAAATGCCCACTGATTATCTGATGATAGTGCTGGGGAAAAAATGTGTTCCACTGTCACTGCTTTACTTAATATATATTGATGAATAAAATTAACAGCTATTTAAAACAAGGTATATAACTTTCTAATATAGAAGAGTTAAAAAGACTTTTCATGTGGAAAATTTTGAACAAATCAAAGTAAACTGAATAGTGTTAAAAAATCCCATATACTCATCACCCAGCTTCAACAATTAACATTTGCCTTTCTCGTTTTACCTATACCTCAAGACTGACTACCTACCCCAACCTCTACTATCATTTACAGTTTTTTTTGAAGTATAATTTAAATGTACTAAATTATAAAAATCTTAGCTGTACAATTTTGACAAATGGATACATGATACAGAACATTTCCATCTACCCAGAGAGTTCCCTCATATCTTCCCAATCTCTCAGCCCAAGTTAACACCAGACAACTGTCTTGACATTTTTCATCTCTGTTTTACCTGTTTGAGAACTTCATATAAATAGAATCATACAGTATTTACTATTTTACATCTAGCTACTTTTGCTCAAACATAATGTCCTCAAAGTATTCTTTAAAGCCAAAGAAAACCAGACCTAAATACACTCAGTAGGAAAGACGGAAAGCATTTATTCAGGATATTTTAACTGTAAATCATTTACTTGGAGAAGGCAGTATCAATTAAAATGTGTAATAAAAAATGATGAATGTAACAGATGCTGACCTGTGAAAATAAAGATAGAGCAAGATAGCCAAATGGAAGGCTGGAGCCAGAGACGTATGGGACTACCAGGTTATAGTAGATCTGATGAAAAAGAGGAGGAAGTGGTACAGTGCATTATGCTTCTTTATGTGTAAAGTAAATAAACTCTATTTGATTAAAAAGGGGACTTCTGAACTTCAAATTCGAATTTCTTCTATTGTTAATAATGTACATTCTATCACCAATAAATTCTAAGATACATATTTTATGTTAAAGGATATAAAATCATTTTAACTTTGGATTTATACTACTCACTGAAGTTCCTGGTATGCAATGGCAGCTTTTCTTGGATGTTCAAAACAGAAGAATGCCTCAGAAAATCTGCGTACCTAAAAAATTCCAAGACAGAGTATTAATAACATGGTACATTTAAAAAGTCAATCTGGCATGGATGGTAGGGAGAGAAACCACCTCCATTAGATCTTCCATAACCATCCTGTGAGAATTAAACTTCCTTTCTCCCTCTTCAGTATTGTCAAAGCACTTTTTTTTGTACTTCATGAAATGAAAGAAACAGACTTTAGAGTGAGAAATTTACATTTACATTCTAGATCCCACTTATCTTCCTTAAAGGCAAAGATTGTTTGTCGTATTTGCCACTACATCCTCAGTATACTGGAATAGTGCCCACTCAACACATAGAGAAGACAATACAATCAGATAGCACTTCCACTATGCTATGTGCCAGGCATCCAAGCATATGTCAGCTGAACTGACTGACTTTCTAGCATTGTGACTTTAGGTATTTAATCTAGGTATAAACCTGGGTATAAACCTTTAGGTATAAAGCTAGGACTCAAATAAAAATTTAAGAAACTCCAAATCGTGTGCTCCAAATCACTTATCTTTTCCTTTCTGCGTTAAGAATCCCTGTTACCAGAAAATCTTTCCTTTTCTGTATGCACTCATATATGAACTTCTCTTTCTAAATTCTCTCTTACCATGATTATGCTACAGCAATGTGTAATGAATAAACCAATTAACTGGAGAGTGTGGCTATTACTAAGGTGTGACTGCCACACCTTAGTAATGGTAACACGGCTTAATTTTAGGCAAAAGACATATAGAAAAAAAAGTTAAATTTACAAATTTAAACTTAGAATATAAGAATATATATTACTACTTTTAGTATATATGCTTATAAAAAATCAGTGGTGTGTGTGTACTTTTAAAAAAAATTCACTTATTTATTTGACATCAACTGTTCAAAATTAAGCAAAGAGCTACACGAAAAAACTGAGCATTCAAATATGGGTATTTATTGATGCTTTATAGAGTTAAATGCTCCTTTATTTGTGTATGACCTACTAATGTTACTAAAATTACTAACACAGTATTTTTTAAAATATAATTTTATATGTGCATATCCATATTAGATTCTAATCCTGAATGCAGGTCTACATCTTAGAGATTATAATATCTATGTTGCATTGAAAAAAGGTATCTTGCAAATGTTACTGAGCAATGTTAAATCCTTGCATTAAGCTTATAGCAAAATACTATATTTATATTTACTATTTATATTTACTATCTGATACAATTCTGCATGGTTTAAGTACCTGGTTTCTCAATCTTACAGCACATTAAAAGAGAAAATTAGACAAAGGAAAATGAAGAACTATAGAGGTAAGTGTACATAAGCAGTTACAAGAAATGATGAGAACTTGATGCTGAAAAAAAAAAGCCCCTGCCCCGTAAAAGAACCCTAGATCATCCTTATAAAAAAGCACACAAAATAAATTAAATTAATATAACTTGGGACCTTTTAATTTTAATGGAGGATCAAATATCCCATCATTTTTTTATAGCATGGAACACTAGTGTATTAAAGTTGCGCACATTAAATAAAATTCATAATTATACTAAATCATTGTGAAAGGGCTAAATTATGTTCAGTACAGGCATACCTTGGAGACATTGTGGGTTTAGTTCCAGACCATGGCAATAAAGTGAGTATCTCAATAAAGCAAGTCATATGAATTTTTTTTATTTTTCCAGTGCATATAAATGTTTATACTATATCATTGTCTATTAAATGTGCAATAGCATTACGTCTAGAAAAATGTACATACCTTAATTAAAAATATTGCTAAAAAGTGCTAATAGTCATCTGACTCTTCAGCGAATTGTAATGGTTTTGCCAGTGCCTCCATGTTGATGGCTGCTGACTGACTAGGGTGGTGATTGCTGAAAACTAGGGAGCCTGGGGCAATTTCTTAAAGACAACAATGAAGTTTGTTGCATTGATTGATTTCCTTTCATGAAAAATTTCTCTGTAGCATGTGATGCCCTCTGATAGCACTTTACCTAGAGTACAACTTCTTTTAAAATTGGAATCAATCCTCTCTAATTTTGCCACTGCTTTATCAACTAACTAACTTTATGTAACACCTTAAATCCTTTGTCATTTACAACAATATTCACAGCATCTTCACCAGGAGGAGATTCCATTTCAAGAAACTGTATTTTTGGTCATCCTTAAGAAGCAACTTCTCATCCATTCAAGTTTTATTATGAGATTGCAGCAATTCAGTCACATCTTTAGGCTCCACTTCTAATTCTAGTTCTCTTACTATTTCTACCACAGCTGCAGCTTAAGTCTTGACTCCCTCAAAGTCATCCATGAGGTTTTGAATCAAAACTCCTGCACATGTTGATATTTTGATGTCCTACCACGAATCATGAATGCTTGTAATGCCACCTAGAATGGAGAATACTTTCCAGAAGGGTTTCAATTTACCCTTCAATTTGCCCAGATCCATCAGAAGAATCACTGCCTATGGGTCTTACAAAGTAAATTTCTTAAATAATAAGACTTGAAAGACAAAATTACTCCTTAATCCACGGCTGAAGAATGATGTGTTAACAGGCATGAAAATAACATTAAATCTCCTTGTAATCTCCATCAGAACTCTTGAGTGACCAGGTGCATTGTCAATGAGCAGCAATATTTTGAAAAAGTCATTTTTCCTGAGCAGTATGTCTCAACAGTGGGCTTAAAATATAGGCAGTCCACAGGATATGGACCAAATACGTTTCTCATACGTTTTTAGGTTAAATTTTTATGTAACCTGGATGCTTGATGAATAGCACATATATGGTGGTAATAATAATAATAATACTACTATAATGGCTAATATATGGTAATAATAACAGTGGGTAATACTGTAATAACAAAACCCCTGTACTGTAATATTAAGTTACAGAGACTATTGTGCTCTTTCTGTTAATTCTAACAGGACATAAGAACAAACTCATACAAAAAGTTGTGATAGGAGATTGGAGAAATTTCAAAAAAGAATATTAGAAGTTAACACTCACGTAATGTTGCATCAACGTTAGACTTATAGGAATGTTATGCTTATTTTGATCTTCTAATCAAATCAATTAATAACCTTTCCATTTCAATAATTAATTCACTATGCTGCTTAGTAATAATTGATGCTTTCATTGGAGCACTGCCTTTCACATATTCCATTATTCTCACTTTATCCTTTATACTTGTGACGATAGTTGAGTGACCAAAGCCTAATGCTTTCCCCAGTGATTGATGCCATCTGGCCTTTCTCCAAATGCTTTATTATTTCCACTTTTGTTTCCATTGTAATCACCTTTCTCTTTGCTGCAGGCTCACTTGGACTTTCACTTTGGAGGCATGGTCATAAGGGTAAACACAGACTCACAAAATCAAATAAAAAGATGAAGTGCTGCTATGTGTAAGCGACCATATAAACAATGAGACTAGCTGCTAGTGTAAAGATGCTGTGCCAACGAACCGCTTATGCCATGCAGGTCTGTCTACATGCACAGAAGAAACTATTTCCTGAATTATTAATTTAATTATAAATTATCCTTATGGGAGCCTTGGGAGCCAGTTTGTAAGTATGGAATGCCATAAATTGGGTTGTCTGTAATCCAAGTGCCTATATTGGGTGGTAAATAGATGTGTTGTCATTCAGGCTTTGTTGTCTATTTCTAGAGCACAGGCAGAGTCTTCCCCTTCCAGAATATATAAAGAACTCCTGAAACTCAACAACAACAAGACAAACCACCCAATTAAAATATGTTCAAAAGACTTGAATACACAAGGAAGATATACAAATGGACAATAAGGACATGAAAAGGTATTCGTGGTCGTTAGGGTAATGCAAATCAATACCACAATGAAATACCATTTCATACTCAGGTAGCCATAATAAAAAAACAAAACCAGAAAATAATAAATGTTAGGATAAGGAGAAATCAGAACTCTTGTACATTGCTAATGGGAATGTAAAATGGTGCAGCTGCTGTGGAAAACAGTTTGGAGGTTTTCCAAAAAGTTAAATATACCGTATGACCCAGCAATTCCACTCCTGAGTATACATCCAAAAGAACTGGATACAGGCATTCAAACAAATATTTGTATACAAATTTTTATAGCAGCACTGTTCACACTAGTCAAAAGGTGGAAACAATCCAATTGTCCATCAATGAACAAACAGATAAAAGAATGTGGTATATTCATACGATGGAATTCAGCCATGAAAAGAAATGAAATACTGATACATGCAATAACATGGATAAAACTTGAAACATTGTGCTAAGTGAAAAAAAAAAACAGATAAAAAGGTCACATGTTGTATGATTACCTTAATATGAAACATTCAGAATCAGTAAAAGAGGCTAGTGGTTGCTAGAGAAGGGAGAAATGGGGAGTGCATGTTTAATGTGTATGAGGTTTCTTTCTGGGTGATAAAAATGTCTTGGAACTAGACAGCCATGATGGTTATGCAACACTGTGAATATACTAAATGCCAATGAATTGTATACATTAAAACTGTTAATGGTTAATTTATGTTATGTAAAATTTTTTACCTTCAAAAAAGTCCCATCCCCCCAACAAATTCAATCTTTAGGAAACAGTTACCTACAGAGATTATATTACATATTATGTATGCTTTTTGACTCTTCTACTCTGGTGGTGCTGTCAATAAACGTTTTGAATTCCTAGCTGATAGACCACTGGTGGCATGTTTAATGTTCCATAGTATTTTTTATGATTAATTCCAGTGAATAAAGGCAAATGGCACGTTCTCTTTAAATTTAACTGGAAAAAAAGTCAAAAGCCATATTTTATACCACGAAGGTAATCACTGAAAATTATGTTTGAGATTGTATTTCTTTTTATTTGTAAAACATGAATAGCATAGCAAACCAGTATCATAATAAATGAATGGTATTCCAATGTTCAAATGTTTGGACTACTATGTTTTTGATATTTTGCGAATTCATGGGAAACATAAGATGTGGAAGTATCAGGTCTATATTTACTGCCTGGGTTCACATC